TTTGTGGGTTATTCAAAACCAAACATATTTCAGATTGTAAGAATATTTTTTTTTTTTTTGCAAATGAATATTGCATTAACAATTTTTTGAGAATAACAATGATTTTTCAAGATACAAGTCCAAGTTAACCCATAGCTGGGAGGAGGAGATGGATTCATACTTTTCCCAATAGTATTTGCATGTAAGTGAATGTAATGAATTTGAATTTAGCTCAGATTCTTTATTCTGAGCAAACTATCCATTATACCACATCCTGTATTGATGGGGGGGTAACTTTTTGTTTGAAGTAGTATATGTCAACATACTATGTCATTATTTTCTCTTCATTTTAGCTGTAGCTGCTGTTGAAAGTTCTCAATTGATGTGGTTTGTTATTTGGTACAGAAAAGCAGTTGTATACAGCTGATAGTTGAGATATTTCTGAGAGTTTGGCGCCATGCATGACATCCATATAAAAGTCTTGACCTGATGATGCTTGATAAGTGTGCTACATCAAAATCCTTTCAAGTACCTCAACATGAGATAATTGTGAACAAGGGTAGTCTGGTTGACCATTACTTCCAAGCAGTTAGTCAGATCTTCACTTCGACATGGGGTAACCCAACACAGGTTGACATGTCATAAAATCAACCAACCTATCTGACAATCTTTCAAAAGTTAGTAATAATAATAATAAAAATACACAGTGAAGATTTTATTGTTGGGTGTTCAAACCTGAGAGACATAGCCATTAATCAGAACCATGCCATGTGTTTGATAGATAAGAAGTAGACATAATATAGATATTGCTCATTGGAGAACTACCCATACCAGCAAACTCCTAATTCAAGTTGTGTCTGGCTTTGTAGAAGTGATATCAGCCCCTGTCAAAATCTTGGTCTGGGTAAGCCATAATCAGTCACAATCTGAAGGAACACAGATTCTAAAAATTAGTAATAGCCAGTAAAAAAAAATATTCAATTTCTTCAAAGTAAAAATGTTGTGAAGAGTTATGAGTCATTGATGGATAATTTTTTCTGAATTCTCTTTAATATAATTTGAACTTAAAAAAAAAACAAAAAAACCTGCGTGTGTGTGTGTGTGTGTGTGTATAGCCTGATGTGCTATACCATTAAGCTACAGAGGAAGTGTCTGGGTAGTAAAATCAAATTAATGTTTTTAAACAACAAATTTACCATGATTTTTCTCAAATGCTCATATCTGCTTGAAGCATATCTTAACAAACAAATGGATTAAGTGTGACAATTATTTTAATATACACATAGTATATATATATATGGTATAGCATGTCAGGCTATATGATGGCTCCATGTAGAATACAGGTTTGATTCCTGTTGGAGGACAGATATTTTCTATGAAATTTCTCGTACATTCAGGCCAGTAAATGTAGTTAATACTGTTTATTATAAACAGAACATTTACTTAAAAATGTATAAAAATAATGTATAAACAGAAAATATATTAAAATAATTGTTGGACTTAGTCCATTTCATAATACATAATGTCATTTGTTTACATTAAGATATGCTTTGAGCAGATATGAGTGTTCAGGAAAAATTATGCAAAATTTGTTGTTTAAAAAACAGTAATTTGACATTGCTAACCAGAGGCATATATATATATATATATATATATATATATATATTTATAAAATTTAATTTAAAGAAAAACAGACAACTTTAAAGTTCCATGGTTATAATTTATTTCCCCAGGGAGTTTCTTTTTCCCTGATCATCAGACCTCACTTCCAAAGATGAAAAAATGAATTTAAACTTACACTTTTGAAGGGTAGTATTAAGCTGATGTAAGGTGATATAGAGAGTGGTGAGAGATAGGGTGACAGACATGGTCGAAATTAGAGGGGAAAGGATATATATATATATATATATATATATATATATATATAAAGGAGAAATATTCTACATATACAAAAATTAAAAAAAAAAAAAAATCAATTTAACACCAATAGCACTTAAATTATTTTTAACTGAGTATAAAATGCTGAAACCTGATGATTAGACCAAACTGAACATTTACAAAAAGGTTTGTCTACAAAACTTTGCAGTCAGTTAAATTACAAATTTTAATTTTATATTATATATATATATATATATATATATATATATATATATATATATAATGTTCAAATCTCACTAGGTTGATTTTTCAGGAAGGAGACTTCCTGAAATTATCGGAATGGATAGAGGTTGATCCCAGTGTGTAGCACCTTTGGAAAGTGCCTAAAAAAAACATTATGGGCTGACCCAAGCCTTGTGAGTGAAATTGGATAGACAGAGCTTGTGCGTGCTGGCCTTTTTCAAATTGTTGATCATGTTATATAACACTTTCTCTCAGAAACTGTAACTAAGGTCTTCTTAGCATAGTTACAGTATAAACCAAAGGTGGGCTATGTAGGTGTTGAGCAAACACAAATGTGTCTGAGTGAGCGTCTGCAATAGGGATTGGCTAGCCGCCCTAGTAGACGGGTATCCTCGAATATGAGTGGCCAGCTATTTTATTTATTTATATTTATGATAGAGAAGATATGTGTTATTGCAATGCTGTACAAAGTTTCCCTTACTTAAAATTTAATTTTGTTAACACTGAAAAAGTGGAGAGACATTTTTATTTAGGCTAAATTTAATTCTAGTTTTTAAGATTTTGAAATTTTAAAAAAAAAAAAAAAAATGAAAAAAGGTAAAAGCAAAAAACCAAAAGGAATTTTTTAAGCTAAATTAAAAAGACAACAGCAATTAAACTTGTTAAGTAAGTTTGATATCTGAACTACAGGAGTCAGGAAACAAAAACGCTATTTATATCCTAACAATTTCCTGTATCACATTGTAATCAATGACCTTTTATGTTTTTGTCTGAAAGAAACAGTGTTGAAACTCACTAAATGATAAGCAACAATATCTTAATTACCTATCATTATTTGAATGAGAAATCTAAGATAAATTTTTTTTCATTATAGCAAAAATTATTATATCAAGAAATAAAGTGTTTTTAATGCACAAGTTTTATAAGTTATAAAGAACGCTTAAAAAATAAAGCCTCCTGTTTATTTCCATAGAAACAATAACAGATACAAGGAACACAATAACCACCATTAGATTAATCATGTTCTCAGCTACAAAGAACTATTTTCCCTACATACTCACCACCAATGATATTGCATTTTCACTTGTGATAAACAAACATCTGCATGTAACACTTGTAAAAATCTGCACCAGAAGCAAACTTTTTCACACACAAATTGCTGCCAACAATGTTGGAACATTGAAAAGCATTTTCTACATTTCAATATGAAAAACTGTCCACCTTAAAATGTTTCAATAAAAAAATGTCATTGTTAAATAATCAAACTGAAACAGTGTGTAGGAATCTTGTATGCAATAATTTGTGCTTATCCAATCAAGTGAAAAGAAAAGTCATGCTTTATAAATATTTTTATTATTTAGAATGTCAGTATAAAAAGAAGGTTATCAATTCATTTAGTTACATTTACAGATTATAATTGCTTAATCTGTTTCTTCTTGGAACAAAGCAGGAAGAAAATTATTACAAATAAAATCACAGGTACAATCATAAAGGGTTGCTTGTATAATTAGACTTTAAATTGTCTTAACAATAATCCAAAGGATTGAATGGTTTTGTTTCCTTTCGAAGACATTTAAGAATAAGAATAGTGACATATTGTCTTTGCAGGAGGATAAAATATCATTAAGATATAACAACTACTTCAGTGATGTAGATATGCAAGCTAACTAGCCAGCAAAATTTACAATGTCAGCCTCCAAAAGTTTGTAATCATGCAACAGACCACAATAACAAATAATACCACCAGTTAACATAGCAGTACATTTACATGTAAATTGTAAACAGTTTCAATAGTGATTTTATACATATAATTAATGGATTTATTTTGAATCTGACATTTTTATTACTTCAAGCATTGTTATTTAGTGGATATTCGTATTTGAAATAGATGTCCCATTTTTATTTATATTATTTTTAAACAGTTTGTATTATGTCTATTGGCCTGCACATTTGATAACTCTAAATAGAGAAAAATGTAATCTCTGGTACATTTTTATTTATTTAGATTTCTCAAGTGCACAGACTGGTAGAGGTAATACACACTGTTTAAAAATAATATAAATAAAAATAGGGCGTCTATTTCAAATATGAGTATCCACTAAATAACAATGTTTGTAGAAATAAAAATGTCAGATTCAAAATAAATTGTAGAAATTATATATATATATATATATATTATTTTGAACAGATAAACTGCATTTGAGTGATAAAATGTGATTAACTTTTAAGTTATTGCCCTTATTTGGATGGCTTTTTGTTTTAATACTATTTTTGCTCTTTAAGGATACCATATAAATTTACCATAACATATACATCTGGACTGAAACCATCCACTAAAGATGAAATATGATTAAAAAAAAACATAATAGAAAAAATAAAAGAGGGTAACAGTTAAAAAGATTTAAGTATATGATTAAAGTTTGATGAGGGAAAAATTTTCAGAAAAAGAAAAGTAGCTTAGCAGAATAGAACTTAAAAACTTGATCTAAAAGTCATCGGTAGACAATTGCATAACTCTAGGTGGATTCTGAAATAATTTGAGGGCACAAAGAAGCAACAACAAAAGGCTATAATTCTGTAGGCTCTCAATTTTGTTTTCATGATTGGAGAGAAAATAATGATATTAAACTAAATATAAATTTATGGTTCAGATACTGAAGCACATTTATAATTTTAAATAAGAAAAATTAATGTATCGTCCAAATAACAGAATTCTTATAATGTTTGATAGAGTATTTACAAAAGACAAATTAAAATAACATCAGTAAACTATTTGAATTCATGCAGTTAAAATACCAATTTTTCTTTGATATAAGATAAAGTTGCTAGAAAATTGGTGGCTACGAAATGTCTGCTGCTATATATAGGCTGGTGTCAGGATTGGAGGGCAAATTTCAGGGTCAGGAAGCTGGGACAGCCACTGCAGTTGATTTACCAGTGTTGCCATTTTGGGGAGAAAAAGCGACTTTAGGATGTATCTCTTCTGCTTTTTCCTTTACTTCCTCCTCCTCCTCTTCTTCTTCATCATCCAGTAGTGGCATCGTTTCTTCCTGCAAGGAAGGGCTGATAGATATGGTTGATTCATTCAACCGAGGGCAAGGAGACTCTGCAGGAACTTGTGGAAATTCTGCAAATAAAACATACAAGATAAAAACCAGTTAATCTCAATGTTTAAGATTGTGCTGACATTTTTACTTCAAGATAAGAATTTATTTAAGTAAATATTTGTCTGATGCATTACTTGTCATTTGTTATTGAGTGCTTCCCAACCAGCAATGATAACTCAAAATGTATATATTAACAGAAATTATCAGGATACTATGTTGAAGAGTTTGATCAGTTAAATTTTGAATAAAATGTATCAAATCCTACTGACATTATCAAAAATAAAATAGTTTAAAAAGGTTATGTAAAAATAATTTAAGAGAACAATGCTTAAACATTCCGTTTTATTTACTTGGGCTTGTAATGTAAATCTGAATTCACATTTTCATGACATTGAAAAAAAGATTATAATTTTTTTATAATAAAGATTTTTCATTGACAAAAGATTATAATGCTAACATTATTTCTTTCAATTACTCTTCCTTCTTTAAAGAAATATATGTCTTAAGAATCATTTAATTATGTTAAGACAATTAAAAGGACTTTACACAAAAAATAATATTAAAGTTATATGTCTAAAATCAAAATTGTCCACACACCATTATCTTTGATTCCAAGTCCAGCAAAAGTTGCTGCTAAATCATCCTCTTCTGTGTTCGGTTTGTCTTCTTTCATTAACTCATCAAGTTCTTTCTCTAACTCTTTCATGTCCACATTTGCATCTCCTGTTAATGTTGTATTGGCTAGCAGCTGATTGACTTCTTCATGTTCATTGAAAGTCTATTAAAAAAAAAAAGGCAGTATTGGTTAGATATATAGAGCGGAAACATTTCTAAGTAGATACACAAAAAGAAGACACACAATATTAAGAAGTACAGAGTATAAGATACAAATAATTATACACTGACCAGAGAAATATTATTACACTTCATGCCAGTTATACAAATTTGTACATGCACATGATCTTTCAAAAGACCAAGAAGATAGTTCTTTTCAATATTACTCAAATATTATAATATTAAATAATAGTTTTGTATTGGAAATACTTTGTACTAGTGGCTACTTGAAATACAAATTTATATAATGAGAATATTTAGTAATTTCCAATGATTTATTTTAGAACCAAGAGATTTATTTCCTTAAAAAAAAGAAAAATATGGAAACAAAGTGCAGAAATTTAGAGAAGTTTTAGAAGAGTTCATTGAAAATGAGTATCTATTGAAGAAAGTAAAAAAGTTTTTAAAATTGGCTCAAATCCAGCTGCAAAATATATGTTCTATAAGTGTCTATATCAGCAGTTCATAACCTTTCAAATTCTACCCCTACATCAACAGCTGAATATATATATATATATATATATATATATATATATATATATATATAAGTATTCCATGACTAAGAAGTGAGTCAGGTTAAAGCTTAGAATTAATCAATTAAACCTTATCCTGACTCAGTTCTTAGTCATGGAATACTTTTTACTATTCTCACAGGAATTCCAAAATACCTCCAAAAATATTAAAATTCCCACATTCAGAATCACTGGTCTGAAGTGAATAAATAATATTACCAAGGCGAACCTTTACATAAAAAAGAAGTTTGGCATGAAAATAACTTGCTTCAAAATTCTAAGCATTTGCTTTAGACACAACTGAAGTTTTTTTTTGCATACACATGCATTCAGTAACCTTTGTTGGATCAATGGTACACCACATAATAATGTAACAGCAATGTGTATCTAAAAGAAGATTAACCTGACGGAGCCCATCCCTCTTCAGGTTGCTTTTGAATCCAGTTATCATTCACTTACATTAATTGCCCTACCAAGGCTAAAGTGCTCAGTTTGCTCTACTGTTTAACCCATAGTTAAAAGAAGAAATGGATTTATGCCTTTCTCAAGAGCATTAGTACAAAGTAAATGGAAAGCTGTTTTGGCTAGAATTTGAACATGGTTTGCTGTTTCCATTTTCCACACCAATAACCATTATGCCAACCACACCTCCAAGTTATTGCCTGCACTCTTATGTTTATGTAGTTTGTCTTTTTAGCATTAACAAATAAAAGTAATAATAACCAACAAATACCAATTGATAATTTACTGCTGCATATTTACTGCATATGTAACATTGAGGTAAACACTTACATCATGAAGTTCATCAATAACATTCTCTGTTTTTTCAAGGTTGATGTCTTTGGTCAATTCTTTCATAGCAGCAACTCCACATTCATAAGCCTCCAAAACCTAAACAAAAAGAAAATTCTTCTAAAATAAACAGATAAAGAAAGAAGTAGAGCTAATAACATTCATAACTAAATTACATCCACTCTATAAATCAGCTTATTTGGTGATATTGAGTTTTTGCAAAACGATTTTTTGCAGAAGTGCATTTTTTTTTATGCAAAAGTACAAACAGACATTAAACTATCTGGGAAGTGTTTTAATAGAAAGTGTGACAGAGAAATCCTAAGGCATATTGGAATAGCAAAAAATGCTTTCCAAAAATTAAATAAGGTATTAAGAAACAGGAAATAGAGTACCAAATAGCTATGTAGTATAAATCCTCCTATATGACAGTGAATGTTAGACAATTTCCTCACAGTTGAAAAGGAGACTTGAGGCAACAGAGATGTTCTACTGAAGGATACCACAGACAGAATATGTGAGCAATTATAAAATTTTAAGGAAAATGGAAACAAAAACTTGAATTAGAAAGAGATAGTTGAAATTTCTGGGACACATAATGAGAAGAAAGGGTGTGGAGAATTTAACACTCACAGGACATACTGAATGGCAGAGGGAAGGAAAAAGTAATCAACCTAACAGATTGGTGTAAGTGGATGGCAGAATAAGGACTAGGAGGGATAGTAATGAGACAAACATTAGTTAGAGCTACAAAGGATAAGAAGTTGTGGAAAGCCATGAATGCCCATTTTCTGAAGAGGCATGGTATATAATAGATAGCTAACCACATTTTGAACTTTGTATAAATATAGAGAAAAAATTTCTTTGGATATTTGAGTTTTCTTTTGCAGATTTCAAAGACTTTGATCCTCTTCTGCATAAAAATAAAAATGAGCCAATGCATTAAGCAATTTTATTTGAGATTCACAAACATGTCATACTAGACAGAAAGAGAAGAGAGATTGTAAAATGGATTCTTGTTTAATGATTTATTATAAAAGAATAAAAGAGGAAAATGGAAAAAGAATTACCTGCTGATCAGAAGAAACATTTTTAATTTTGAACACCAACTCATGGAGGATATCTAGTGTGGCAAGTTTCTTGTCAAGAATCAGTTCATGGTTCTTTTTTCTTCTTAGTGTATGAAGAGCCTGAAAATTATAATACATAACATGTGAGAGACATCATATAAAGCAGTATTTCTCATCTGGTGCACCGGGCACACTAATGTGCTTTGAAAGGTAGCCATGTGCAGCTCAAGTTAACAGAAGAGTAATTTATGAATTTTTTTATATTTAAAAAAAAAATCTTTATTTTTAAAAGGCTAGAGACAGCAAGCACATGGCTTCCATGTCTAAGTCTTTATCATTTGATATTTTAAACTGGATACTAAATTCCTTAATCTTTAAGAATGAGTGGATAATCCTCTCTTTTGCCTTCTCCAAGAGATTTAAATCTGTTATTATCGGTCTCTCTAAGAAAAAAAAAATTCTTCAAAAATCCCTTTAAATGAAAACTGTACAACTTAAATATACAATGTAATGTCTTAAAAATAAATGCTTATGTCAGGAAACATCTTTATTATTTTCCTATTTTCAAATTTTATGACTATTTTTTCTTTATTAATATTTAAAGTGTTCCCTAGTGTTTTGGTTCACTCTACAAGTGGGCCCTGAAGTAAAAAAAGTTGAGAAACACTGATATAAAGGAATAAGAGACTATACAAAGCAAATACAATTATTTGTCAATGCTTACAGATTAAAACTTTACTATAAACTGACATGCATTTATTTATTTATTTAGAAAATAAAACATCAAACTAAATATTGCATATTGGTGAATTTTAGGATGATCTGTCTATCTATATTTTGAATTGGTTTAGTTTTCCATCACTGGATATGCATATAATTTTTATTTTTCATGAGATAGTCTCTATTACAATTTTTTTTTTTAATTATTTCACCCAAACAAGACAATAGAGCCACTAAGATGCAAAGGGTTAGTAAGTCTGAGAGAATATGAGAAAAAATGCTATTAAGAAGTGAGAACAATAAAAGAATAAGAATTAAGACAAAAGATAACGACTGATATTGTATTTAAATTTTTGAAGTTGACTGGGAAGTAAAAAGCCAGAAGAGAGTTCCACAAGTAAGAAGTTTAATAGAAGAAACTATTAGCATAGAACTTACGGTTACATCTATTTCAACTGTAAAATGATGAGACCTAGTTGCTAATCTAGTACTGAGTTTAAATTCATTAAGTCTAGGTACCAGAGAAGGAAAATTCATCAGATCAGTTATCATGAAAGTATTTATAGAAAAGGTACAAGGAAGCTACATTATGGCAGTGGGAAAGTGACTGAAGCTAAAATGCTAAGTCAGGACCAATAACATTACAGATTCCTCTTAGATTTTATCAAGCAAAAAAATTAAACTGAGTTTAATATTTAAAAAGTACTTTAATATGGTATTCATGAATACATGTAAATATAAAATAAATAGATCTGAACAAGTTATTTAGTTTTATGTTTTTTTTTTTTACTATAAAAATGATAATTTTATACAAATTAAAACAAAACTTTGATTAGAGATTTTTTCAGAAAATCTGTGCATTCAAATTAACAAAACCCAGTATAAGCTCATACATGCTAATACCTTACCAAATGACGTGATTTTGTCTGTACATGGCCTTTTGCTTCTTCTGTTAACCTGAAGAAGATATAGATCATATTATTTTATTAATTTAATACAAATGCTGCATTTCAATAAGCATCAGGTGACATTGTATGGATTATTAATTTGACATTTGTGCCAAGTAATCAGGAAAAAAAAAACTAGACAGAGTTTAAAAAAAAAAAGATGATAAAATTACTAAATCACTAACAATTAGTAATTGGCAAACATCAATAAAAATATTCAACAAAACAAATAGTACAAACATAAAAATACTGTAAAATTACAATACTTTTTATGAATTCTTCATAAGACAAAATATATGCTTTATAATGCTCTTAATAATAATTAAGTAGAGCTCTTTAAAATTAATGAGTTAAGGTTACTTGTTCAACTGAAATAATTCAATTGTAGAATTATTAGCACTATACTTTATAATAGCTATACTAATCTCATTGAAATAAATAAAACACTGAAAGAGAAACACAAGTGTTATAACGGTTATATTTGATGTCAGCTGAAACATTAATCAATGCATGTTTGTTTTATCCAAACTTCGCTTATTTGAACTTAAAATGTAACTGTCCTAACACATTGCTATTTCTTGCAGCATTAATCTCAGAAGAGACAAAATATTCGTAATGACAATCTGACACTGGTAGTTGACTGACTGATTTGTTAGTTTTTTTTTGGGGGGGGTTAACAGCCAGCTTATCAACACTTTATGGATTAAAACCAAAACATATTTTGGATTGTAAGAGTAATTTTTTTTTTGTGAGTGAATATTGCATTAACAATTTTTTGAGAATAACAATGATTTTCCCAGATACAAGTCCTACTATTTAACCTATAGCTGGGAGAGGAGATGAATTTATACCTTCCTGAAGGATATTTTCATGTAAGTGAATGTAAAAAGCCCAATATTAGTTTCAATCAAGATTTAGGTATTTCATAACAAAAAGGCCAGTGGATTAAAGCAATGGTTCACAAATTTGGTGAAATAATTATTGTGCATTCAATCACTGGGCTGGGTAGAGCAGACTCAGACTCAGTGAAAACAAGAGTGAGCAATGACTGATCAGTACTAAAATAAGAACTAGATGACATATTCCGAGAGATGGTCAGTGGAATGAGAACAATATATTTTGGTAGCTCATTTTCTGATGGTTACTCTGAATGACAAACACCTGAAAGAAAGATGAAGACAATAATAGTTCAAGTGTAAATAAAAATTACAGTTGTCAATATCTAGAATCAGTGGAATAGTTATAAACAATGTGTTTATAAACTTTAATTAATTTAAACAGAAACTTGTGTGTGTACACATTGACTTTAACTGTTTATATAAAACATGCTTCTTCAAAAAGGAAATGCAGGCTTACAGCCACATCATGTTCAAACACCAGTTCCCATATGATTACTGAAGTTAAGCAATGTTGAGACTAGTCAGTACCTAGATGGGTGACCACTTGGGAATACCAGGTGCCGTAAGATTGGATATGCAGGTGGTGCAATGGATAATGATTGGAGATTGTTAATCGGGGAGCTAAGTTCCAATTCCAGTTGGGTTCATTATATTCATTCATGCATAAATACCCTTGGGAAAGGTATGAATCCACCTCTTCTTCCCCCAGCCATGGATTAATTAGTAAGACTTGCATCACTAAATTCATTATTTTCAAAAAAAAAAAATAAATAAATAAAAAAATAAATAAATAAAAAAATAAAAAAATAAATTAAAAAAAAATCAAAAAAAAATCTTACAATCTAAAAATATTTTCTGGCTTTAAATAACCTATAAATAGTTGATAAGCTGTAGAAAATGAATCAAAAAAGGAAATGCAGGAGAAAGTGAACCAGGAAGAGTAAAGAAAAAAAAAAGAAAAGCCAAATTGGAGAAGGAACAGTTGAGATAAAAATAATTCAAATACAAAAAGCAAACCTCTTGATATCTTCTGTGAGAGTGTGTACTTGTTTCTCCAATCGCTTCTCTACACATTGTATTCTGTATAAAGAAAAAAATAGAATTTTAATTTTAAAGCTTGAAATTAAATAATACAAACAGGAAACTATATTTTTATGAATTTCTGTGAACTTGCTTCAGGATAAATAGGAATAATCTTGTGTTCATGTGTTATAAAGTGTACATAATCATATTTAACATCATTTACAAAAATATATCATGTGGAAGTTATGAAGAAATTATTTCTATACACTCATTTTTAGAGTAAGAAAACTAAAAACTACCACCTATATCTATTGTACAAAAAAAAGGAAAAATTTTAGAATGAGAAAATATCATATTTAAAAAAATTAAACTATGTACAAATAGGGTACTGAAAACTGACCCCTCCTCAAAATCTGATCAAATGAGCAAATATCAGAATTTTATTCTGAATCCTTTGTTGGTCAAAGTGAGAACTTTTCAGCAATTAAAATTTGAAAAATGATTTTACTGCACATGGTTTGAAGAAAATGTAGCAATTGGAACATTATCTCCAAACATTAAAAGTTTCATACTTACTGATATATTTTTAAATCTGTATATTTCACTGGTGATACACTGACATTTTTATTCTGAGTAAACTTGATCAGCTGAAAGATAATTATTTCAATTACATCAGTTTCCCAAATAAATTAACTTCAACTAAAAGGCTTCATTCTGGTAGATAAGGGAATGTAATTTCTAACGCTGCTTTTTCTGAAAGAAGCAGGGAGGTAGGATAATTACATAACATTTGACAGAAGATTCATGAATAAAATATAAACATGCTTTAGACATTTGAAATTATATGATTCAACAATGTATATAAGTAAAATAGATATATGCATATAGTAACAAACACTTAAGTGAATCAAGGAAGGTGTTGCAAAAATCTCAAAGTTGGCAGTCTATTAGTATTGCTATCAAATTTCTCTAATCACATAGGAAAGCAGCTAGTGTATTTATAAAGGATTGTATGGCTCGCTATGTGTATTTTTGTGTCTGAGAGAAGAGATTGTAAATTTTTAAATAAATGATAACTTAGAAATGATTTTTTACTAGATTTTAGAAAATAAATTTCTGTATGAGTGATTGGCATGGAGGCATAATGCTTTATAGTTTGACCAGCTTTCTTGAAAATCAAGAAATATTTTAAACAAATCTATCATTTTAAGGAATACAAATTAATAACAACAGTTATTCATGTATACAAAAATTATAAGTTTTAGAAAACTGATAAAGAACATATTTGAAATAACTAAGTCAATAAAAATGCAGGAAATACTGAAAATAATAAAAGCAGAAGACCTACAAAAATGTTTTTAACAGAAGTCTACCACATGTCCTGAACAGCTAGGGGTATAATATGTCAAATTTAATTTAAGTATAAATTTAAAAGTTTATGGTTAGATATATTGCATTCAGAGACTTTGAATTTCTAGAAGCAAACAGAAATTGTGCTATAAATGTCATTCAAATCATAGAACAAAGAATTAGTAAATTTGAAGTCAAAATGAATAGTAAATACTTACAGGTTTTTGATTAGATGAGCTCTGTGGTACAATGAGAGCTTTTTTCTGTTTTACTAAATGAGATATAAGCAATGGTAATTCCCTTTTGTCTTTGCACAAATCTGCATACAGCTCCATTAAATGGTCATAATCAATTAAGTCTTGTTCATGATGTGTTCGAACTCTCTCCAAATGGCTATCTAACAAATGATCAGCTTTTTTCTAGAAAGGGAAAAGCAAATATTTACTTGCATTGCATTGAAAAAAAAAAAAAAAAGAATATGATAAATAAAAAAAATACTTTCTGCCTATGCTTCTGTATTATATATTTTAGGGGGATTTTTCAAATTCTATGATAATGAATTTAAAGAAAGTTTAAAACTTTTACAATTAAATAAATATTAACTTGTTATGGTTTAAAAAAAATTGTCCTGTTCAAATAGAAAATTTGAAACAGGTTTCATAACTCACTATCAAATCTGTTTATTATTTTTTTAAAACTGAGCAAAACTAAATTATCTATGTTAATCATGATGGCAAAAACTATTTTACCTCATACAAAACTGTTGTTAGTATGTATACAGAGTACTGACAATTTTCTGTAATTTTAGTTTAGCTATGAGAGATTAACAAATATGGTAAGTATTTTCTCAACTGGACAAATGTTTGGAAATTTGTAAGAATTTAAAAATATATATTTCCAAAAAGCTACTAAAAATTAGCACATTAATAATTTGGACAAAAATAGAACAATTTAAACAAAAAGAAAGTGATAAAGCAAAAAAGACAAAAACATATTTTGCTGTTAACATACAATGGGGCCTCTCTCTCTCTCTCTCACCCAGACTTTCACCAAACAGACAAATCAATCCATAAATTGTGTTTTGCCATTCATTCATGCTGGTGTTCACAATGACTAGAAAAAGACTTGCTACATGTTTGCAAAGAACACAAGATGAAGTCAATAGCAAGAAATGAAAACAAATTTGTTTCTCAGTAATTCGGTGTTTATTTCAATGGGGTTCCCAGTTGGATTTAGTATTCTCTCTGATAATAGGTAGGTGGCACATAGGCTCCTTTGTTTCTTCTTACTTCCATCAAGGGACTGCTACCTACATGACTGGTTAGACGGACAACTCCGCTCTCTGTCCCACACTACAACAGGCTAGATGTTGGGATAATTTTCTTAAATTAATGATTATTTGATTCTTCAAGTATATTTTTTTGCATTATTGTAATTTATAAATTTAAAAAGGTAGTTTATATATATATATATATATATATATATATATATATAAGAAAAGGAATAGATTTTTTTTTATTTATGAATCTGACAGATTTTTATTACTTAAATGTTATTTTTAGTGGATACTCATATTTGAAGAGATGCTCCATTTATTTACTAAGCAGTATATTTATTTATTTTTGTCTATCAGCCTGAATATTCAATAAATCTTATTAGAGAAGCACACACACAACATTATATATATATATATATATATATACACACACATACCACCTTTTGAAAATATGTTTTATCTTAATTGGGTCTAGAAAGTTGTTTCTTTTTATTCTTTTTCCATTTTATTATTGTTACTTTTTGTCACAACACTGAGCTGATATACTCTTCAATTATGGGAGCAAACACCATGAAATTGGAAAGTAGCTTCCAATTTGCATCCCACGCCTCAGGAGTCTGTATTTCACGAACATTGCTTTAAATATGTTTCAAATATGTTGTCTTTGTGGTTTTTAACGAAACTTCATTTATGCTTAATGAGTGCACATACATTTTTAGTTTTTATTTTATTTTTTTAAGAAAATAAAATGTATAGCACCAATAAATTAGGGTAAGGGTTAGGGGAGTTAATAAATATTTAAATCAAAGTTATAACTTACAGAAGATATATGATTGGTTTTGAACACTATAAGGTTTGTACAATTGAATAATTTTAATTGAAAGGAGTTAAGTTTCACATGAATAAACTAGTATTTTACCAAGAATATTTGATTCTAAAAAATAACAATAGTTAATAATACAATCATTCCTCACTTAACAACTTACCTGTTTAATGAACCTTGAACTTACAACCAGGTATAAATTCTCATTAAAAAAAAAATCCAACTGGTTGGTATTGTATATTCTATGAAAACATTGATTGCAATCGTTTTCTCTTTCTTCAAAATGAATCAAAATACAGTGAAAAATTAATAAACATTCACTTGTATGCACACTAAGTAATGTGCAGAATATAAAGCTGATTTTCAAATTTGTTTATTATGTTTACAGTTCAATATACTATTATACTGTATAAACATTGAGAAATAAATTTGAAATGTTAGAAATGGTGTAAAAATGACATTAAAACTATGTGAATTTGGTTGACACAAACCAGTTATACAGTTTGTATACCTGAAATAGTGAGCAGGTCATTGAAATGGTACATGGTAATTAAGTGAGGAATAGCTGTATTACTAAAATGTTAATTTTTCTTTCTAAATAAATTTTTTAATCTCAAAACTTCTTCAAAACTAACCTTCAAGACTTCCATCATGCATTCTTCTTGACTTTTGTTGTTTTTTACAATCATGCTGCTAGCTAAACCCACTGCCCAAGATAGTGGGTTTCTAATAAACTTTGAGTAACCCCAATAAAGCCAGCCAACAGCAGCCCCTTCAGATTCCACAGCAGACAATGGCTTCAATTTTCCAGACCTTCAAAGTGAAAAAGAAAAAGAAAAATATAATTTTAAACAAGAGATACTAGTTAAATGTAAAACAAAATCTAACTACATATATATGAAAAACACATTAATACAATTATTTTGTCATGATTTTAATAAATGTAATTTGAAATGCTAAAATGAAGTAGACAAGTAATCTATTGTTTTGCTCACACAATTTCAGTCAATACACTCTTCCGTAGTTGTGTATTGAATTTCAAATAATATTTATAGACATTTCTGTTAGAATGTCTTCTGTTAAGACATTTTAATCACACTATTTCAGTCAATATACTCTCCAACTTGCCTCAACTGTATATTGCATCGGATTTTAAGCAAAACTATTTGGAAATAGTTTAAAATTCTGATATGATTAATTATCATTTCACAGGTTCAAATGACTATTCTTATTGTTGTTGATTTTATCATTATATTTTGGCTAATGTTATTCCACACCTTATATATGTTGTTGGAATTTTTAAAGCATAATTTGTCAAAAAAATTCCCTTGGTACTACTTGCAAGAATATTTGATATCCAAATCTATAATAGGAACCTCACTCCTTCCTACTGAATAAGTTAAACATCTGAAGAAGGCTGAATAATATATCAGCTGATACACAGTTGTAATATCAATAAAGATGAAAATATTTGTGGAACAAAACTGTTTATTCACATTATGTTGTTTTTTTTTCTATTCTTTTACAGCTACATCCTTTTTCATAACTGAATTTATGCCTTTTTCTTCTTGCAACCTTTTTGTCTAAAGAAGATATATCATTTGGGGCTGCACTAATCTTCCCACAAGGTGATGTGATGTGTTTATAAACTGAAACTTTAACTGAATTCATGACATTTAATAGGATAAAACTGGTAGATTTTTCAAGCTGTGAATGTATTATTAGTAAGAAAAATAATCTGTTTAATTCCCAACAGGAATGATGGATATTACAAGAAAGGGATATAAATACTTTGTAAGCAAAGAGATTAGGTGAAAACTCCCTGAAGATTATCAGATCTTTGGAGAAGGTTACAAAATGTACTGGCAGAAATATGAATGAAGTAACAAATATAAGATCTGAATTATCCATGGGTTGATAATTTTAACATTTAACATATGTCATAAAGCATATAAACTGAACAAATGCACTTCCATTATTAGTATAAAATGAAAATATATGGTAATAACTAGTAACTATTTTCAGCTTATACAATTTATGACATACAACTTTCTCTTAGATGCTTGATAGAAATTTATCAATAATCCCATGTTGAGGCCACAAAGTTATAATTGTTTTCTTAAAAGTAAAAAAAAAACTTTAGATCATAGAAAAACAATGACATTGATATTTTAACAAAAAATCACTTAAGTGTAATGTGAATTTCTCTACCAAACATGTACTTCTATTTCAGAATATTAATAGATTCATTGAATAAAAGTATTGATTTTGTGATCAAAACAAAAAGCTTCTTCCTTGTTGCTTGAGTATCCATAAAAAGTAGCATCTTATTCTGCAGGCTTGTTCTGTTTTGAAATCAGTTAATGTTTATTTTTATTAACATTAACAGTGTTTTATTGGAATCAATAAAAAGAAATAAGAAAAGAGATATGCTGTTTTGTATATAAATTTATGTAGAAAACAATTTCCTATACTTATAAACAGACTTATTTTTATATGTATGTATGCAAAAAAAAAAAAAAAAATTATCACAAATGTATTTTGCATTGCAATATAATTTTTAAAAAGACAATTGAAAAAATATTTGCCAAAATATAAGTTAATTTTGTAAATTCTATCTATGTGAGCATTAATCTGTTTTAAATGTTTATAAATATATTAAGCCGTAAATACAATACGTACTTTTCATTAAATTATAATAGTTTATATAATTAAGATAACTAAAATCATGTAAACAAAACTTGTGACTGAGACAAGTCATCATCATTATTTCATAATCTCTGGCTTCATCCTAAGATTCACTCTGTCAAATTCCCACATCAGAAACTGATCCAGATTAGGAACTATGTTTATTTAAATTGTTTGAAAGAAAGTTTTTCCATTATATCTTCATTAATATTATTAGTACAAGATTAAGTATTAACAAGCTGTAATTCCTATCTATCCCTCTACCTCCATAAAAAAAATACAAAAGGAAAAAAATCAATTAAACTTTTTATTTCAAGAAATAAAATTAATAAGTTGGAAGATACACAAGTACATTGTGTGTGTGAGAGAAAGAGATTTTACTATTGAACAACAAGTGTTAAAGTCCTGACAAATGAAAAAAAAAAATTTACTGCAAAATGAAAGACATTAATCAACATACAGACATGAGTTTCATAAGCCATCAAAGTCATAGGGGTACCACATATACTGCAGCCACAGCAGCAGTGGTGTGTCCTGGGCAAGATAGCTTAATGGAGCCCAACCCTCTCCAGGCTAGTTTGAAATCAGAGTTTTTCAATCTCCTAGAATAGTCACCAACCAAGACTATAGGATTAATCTGGGAGCAAAGAAGAATAGAGTCATACCTTTCCCAAGGGTATTAGCACATAATTTAGTGTAATGAACTTGACTGGAATTGGAACTCAAATCTCCAATTCTTCAATTTGAGCTGATATCCATTACTCCACCATGCCTTAATCAACTATAAAAAGAAAAACAACGGAAAGCTGACAACAGTTCATTGAATATTTTAAATTATACTTTGCATATACCAAAGGAGGCAACATGTAAGTATCCTATCTCAACTGAAGACAGTAGATGTAAGCAAAATCAATATAATATGCAGTAGTCGATAGTAACTGAACCATAATATTCTCTTTTCTTATTTCTGAAAATAGTTAACTACTAAGTTCAGTCAATGCAGCACAGTAGTTCTTAGGTGTTTAAAAATAAATAAAAAGTGGAATTAAACCAGATTTCATTTATAAAATAAACAAATTCTAAATAGAAAGTATTTTATCTAATCTATCTCGGGAATTGAATATCAAACACTGCTAATTTCTCTAGCAAGTCAGTGTCATATTCTTAGCATACAAAGCATAGTTTTCTGAATAATTCATGCAATTTTCTTTAGCACAAAACCATTCCTTATGTTTTTCAATGTTTTTACAAGACAGCATCAGGGAGGTTTCTGCTGGAGACTTCATATTGTATGTTCTGGTAAGGATTTAAAAACTTTGATGACTATACAAAGACTTAAATTGCAATGCTACATAATTTTTAATTTTAACTAGTGTCATATATTTTTTATTTATTATTGATATACATTGTCTAGGGCAACTACATTGGAGCAATGAGAATTAGTGAGTTCAATATTCATTGGAGTTTTTATTAAAGTGGCCTTGATCCAGACTAAGCTAAGCTGAATAAATAACTACATGATTTACTGATAAGAAGTTGTAGTAATTCACAGATAATAAAGAAAGGGAATCTGTAGAGATACATAATCATCTGCTTCCTGATAGAATATAGCTTTTAAAAAATTATAATGTAGAATTCTATGTCATTATCTATAATTTAGAATTGTTGTAAAACAAGGTATAGACTGTACTTATAAATTTGTACAACTATTGCTGTGAAAACAGCAGCAGTGCTTCTGACAAAACCTTCATCAAACAATGGCTCTGGGGTCATGCATGGTTTCAAGGTCAAAACATTATTACTATTAATCCAGTGTGCTCCCAGCAAGTACCTCATGATATCACTAGACTTTCTTCAATAAAGTTTATTGGGTTTTTCCCACATTGTGTGAGGATGCACATGCAACCTTTTCCCAATGTTGAAATCTTTTAATACTATTTCCTCTCTTTTGTTCACAAGTGAATTAAGATATACTCAAGTAGTGTTGACAATAAAACCTCGGAAACTTTGATAAAATATGTATTGATCATCTACTTATATTTTTCCTCTCCTAGATCTTTATACGTTTCCAACTTCTGTTGATGTTTCCAGTCAACATCATTCCCATAAGGAACAGTTAATTTAACATTTTTTTTAATGTAAGTAATCAGATCAGAACAGGTAACATGATCTCAATTGGAAATATGAAATGGTATTTGAAATCTATCATGATGTTCCATTTCATCCAACCATCAGACAATGTCAATTTGTACTTTTTGTAAAATTAACTCCAGGAATACTTCAAAATTTATTTTTAGTTGAGTTACAGATGAAATTTTATTGGCAGCTTCACAACATCTTTTTGTAGCCTTGGCAAGGAACTGAAGTGTCTCTCTAGTGTGTTTTTAGTTTTTTAGAGAACTCACAACCTGTGAAGATATATTTGAGACTAACAATCCACCCACATGCACTGCCTTTGCAACAATTCTTTCACTTGAACCAATCATGCTTCATAGTTTATGCAGTTTTATTTATGACAGTACAACAATTTTTTTAAATTAAAAATATAACAATTAACAATTTTTCTTACATGAAAATTAAAATAAATATATAAAGTTAGTCTTTCAGTTCTGTTAGTCTATTTCAATTTTTCTCTGTACCAACAACTTGTATTTATGGTTATCGTTTAGTATAGATTCATATTTTCAATTCTTGAAACACAATTTATCATCTATTTATTAATATACTTTCCATGGGTTATTTTATATTTACTATTTTATATTATCTTTTTACCATTTGTTTATATAATATTTTTACTTAATATCATTTAATCACTTTTTTTTTAAAAAATCCAAATCCAGAGCCTTCTCATTCCTGTTGGCGGAACCCCTCCCTGATTAACCATATTTTTAGGGGTGTAGCCATACTCACCATACTTAATCAATTGCAGGTTAGTTAAGTTATTTACCCATACAGAAAGATGGGCTGATGGAGCCCAACCCTTACCAGGTTGGTTTGAATTCAGAATTTTCCTTCTCCTAGACCAGTTGCCACCCAAGGCTATAGGACTCAGTTTATCCTGCTATTTATCCATAGCTGAGGGAGGAATATATGGATTTATACTTTTCCCAAGGGTATGTGCATGT